CTGGAGGATGAGGAGCTCTGTTACTGAAATACTAGAAGATTGGGAAGATTCTGTTATCATAGGAAGGGAGAGAGAGTGGTTCAAAGTAGAAGGTACAATCAAAGTTCTCCAGTGTCATAAGCCTGTACATGCAGAGTACCTGGAAAAATGAAAGCTGAGTTGTTCCCCACCGATGGAAACTCCACAGTCCCCTCCCTTCCCGATAACAACACCTTGTTCGTGACCTCCGCGCAGAGCCCTGGGCTGCGGTCCAGGGTGAGACAGGCAGAATCGGGAGGACCTCCCCACTTGCCCACGTCCATCGCAGGGGTGGCTTCCTCGCTGTCCTTGGCAGACATCTGAATGATGCTGGCAAATTGTCTGAATTTGCCATGCAAACAATTGCATGCTTTTCAGACGCTTTCAAATCTTTTTTTAAAACATAGTGTAAATTATTTTAATAAACCAAAGCCATGTGGAATTTTTTTAGACGCCTTAACTGTGCCCCACACTCCCAGTGTTATTTAGGTTGTCATTTCTTTTCACAGCATTTTCAGGTTTTTTGTCCAGATAAGCAGTATTCCTTATTTTGTTAGAGATCAAATTACTTATGGGTGTGTTCTCCCTAGATTGTTTTCTCATTTGTAGCATTATTAACTTATCCAATAAACCTATTAATTAAAACTTTTTTGGTATATAAAGATGACAAGATTTAGGTATATTGGGGTAAATACATTATTAAAACGAGCTCACCTGTTTCTTTTCGCCTTTTTAGTAAGGCATAGCATTGGCTTAGGAAGAAGCAAAGTTGATAGGATACAATGAAGGTAGTGCTTGGAGGAAATTTTGCCGGCTAAAATACTTGCATTAGAAAAGAAGAAACTTTGAAAATTAAATGAGCTGAACATCCAAATCAAAATGTTTAAAAATGACAAATGATCCTGGCTTCAATTCCTAACACTAGGAAAAAACATCACAAATGAATAAATACAAACTAACAAAACAGCAATACCATGATATCAAACCTAATAAACATCACAAGAAAAGAAAATTACACACTAGTGTTTATTATAAAAATAAATTAAAAAATCTTCAATAAAATACTAACAAACCAAATCCAATAGCATATTAAACATGACCAAGTGAGATTTGTCCCAACTATGCAAGGGTGATTCCACATGGAAAATCAATCAGTATAATACACCACTTTAATAGAATAAAGTAGAAAAAAAATCACATGCTCATCTTAAATGATATAGAAAAAGGCCTTGGATGTAAAAAAAGGACTTTCATGATAAAAACAAAACACTCAGAGAAGTAGTAATAGAAGAGAACTTGCTTAACATAAGAAAAGGCATTATTAAAAAATCATAGTGGTGAAGAAGTAAGTGCAACCCTTAACAAGGATGAAAGTCCTATTTCAATCCTCTCACTCCTAATAGGATACAGGTCACCTGAAGATGCTAGTACCCCAAGCAGCTTTCCAGAAGCAAAAGTAGGTCCTCTGGAAAGGGAGATATAATCATATGGAATCTCAGATTTTCTCTAGAAGTTACACTTTACAGTATAGTGCCCAGAACTCAAAAAAATAGCTAGACACGAGACAGCACAACATGCAAACACAAAGAGAAATAATAAGGAAAGAGATTCAGAGGACATTTAGATAGTGGTGACATTAGACAGGGACTTGAAGGGGCTGGGGATTTAGCTCAGCGGCAAAGCGCCTGCCTGCCAAGCCCAAGGTCGTGAGTTCGGTTCCCGGTACCGGAGAAAAACCAAAACCAAAAAAAAACAAAAAACAAAAAACATAGACAGGGACTTGACAATGACTACTCACTGTGCTTGAGTAAATAAATGGCCAGGCTGAGAGTTCAGCAGAGAACTGAAAAGGATTTTTAAAGAAGATTTGGAAGGAAATTTAAAAATGGAAACCTACAATATCTAAAATTGATATCTCAATGGATGGGTTTAACAGCTGAAAAAAAAATCAGGTGGAAAAAAGTCCCACAGGATACACAAAGAAACAAAAGAATGGAAAATAGAGAAAAGAACAGAAGAGTCACTTGATGTTGGGGATCAGGCTGTGTAAAGGTTAAGGTGCTGACCACAGTGCTCTCTGAGCGTGTTGGAAAAGCTCATATTCACAGCCTCTGAAAGCAAGATAAGACCACAGCTGAGGATATTTGGCTCTCACTCCCTATTCCAGGGCAATAACTGCCAACCTAAGAGATAGGATAGTTCTCTCAATTAGCAAGATTTACTGTGTAAGAATGTCTTTGTTCTAACTTCTCAAGGCCTGCTTATTTTCCTGTGTCTTTTGTTTCTGATGTGCCCTCTACATCCCTGCACCTGCCTGATTTGTTAAGGACCCAATAAATACTGACAGTCCAGAGAAGTCTTCATCTTAGCTCTGAGAGAGTTCTGAACTTTCTGGACTCCCCACAAACCATATTGCATTGTACCTTTATTTAATACTTTTTTCTACACTCATCTCTAAGATTGGGAGCTTGACCAGTGCCCAATAATTTGAGAATATAATGAAATCTAACAATTGTCTGTTAGTATCCTGAGATTACTGCAACAGATTACCTCAAACCTAGAGGCTTCAAACAGCAAACACTTGTTCTCTTACAGTTCTGGAGGCTGGAAGTCCATCCCAGGTGTCACTGTGCTGAGACCAAGGTGTCCTCAGGGCCACGCCCCCTAAGAGGCCCTAGAGGAGAAGCCATTTCTTGCTTCTCCCAGCTTCTGGTGGCTGCTGGCATCCTTTACCTGTGGCTGTATTATGCCAATCTCCATCTCCATCTTCACATCCCTCTCTTTTCTGTGTGTACAGTTTCTCTGCCTGTTTTACAAGGACACCTGGGATTGTGTTTAGGACCCACTTGTATAATCCAGGAAAATCTTCTCACTTCCAGATCCATGGTGTAATCATACCTGCAGAGACTGGTTTTGTTTATAGGGCTGGGATATTTTGTGGTGGCCCTGGTTCTAACAGTTACAATATATATAATTAGAGCTCCTTAAATTAGGAAAAATGGGACATAAGAAATATTTGGAAAGATGATAGCTGAGAGTTTCCAAAATAGGTTTAATCAAAAAAGTAAATAAATACAGAATCAACAACAACAAAACCTTATTTTTTGATCCATAGTTTCAACAATCTCCAAGAATTCCAAGTAGGATAAGAGCAAAGGAAACCAAATATCAAAGTATGACTGCTAAAAAGGAGAGATAACAGAATTAAAAGCACTCAAATAAAAACTATTTTTAAAGAACCCTTGTAAAAGCAGCAAGAATTCTAAACACTGACCTCTCAAGGAAAGCCTGAAGACAATGAAAAATCTTCAGGGTCTAAAATACATATGGACATAGATAAATACATGTTTTTGAAAATTAAAATGAATGAAGATAGCTATGTGTGATGGCACCTGCCTGTAATCCTAGCTATTTGGAAGAAAAAGCAGATGATTGAGGCCACCCTGGACAATTTAGGAAGGCTCTATCTCAGAAAAAAAATTTAAAATGGTCTAGGGAGGAAGCATACTAGTAGAGCTCGCCTAATATTTGGGAGGCCCAGAACTGCAAAATTATATGCGAGTGATGTTTTCAGACAACCCAAAAGATGGGAAAATTTCTCCAACAGTTTTTTCATCATACTTTAGAAACACCAGAAGGCAGAGATCTAGTCATGAGCTCAGACGGAAGCTTGGGGCCTGCTGTCATGGAGAGGGAGGAAGCGATGAAGGACAGCTTGGGCCCCACTCACAGGGCGTGAGAGGTCACTGGAGAAGCTCGCGCTGGTTGAAGGGGGACATGTGAGCTTCAGTAAGGATTATAACACAGTGGATCAAAATCCTCCAATATGTCTAAAGCCACAAGTTACTAATGATTCTAAAACATAAAAAGAAAACAAGTCAGGCATGGTGGGGCATGACTATAATCCCAGCACTTGGAAGGCTGAGGCAGGAGGATTGCTTCAAGTTCGATGCCAGCCTGGGCTTTGTAAATGATTTCAAGGCCAACTTGAACTGCATAGCAAAGTCCTGTCTCAAAAAGACAACAAAACAAAACCTGAATTGGCCCACTACTGAAGGATGAGAGGGAACAAAATTACATCTTAAATAGAAGATAAGGAAGAAAAATTGCTTTAAAATTGCATGTTCCATATCAGTGGTGGCAAACCTGTGCCATGTGGGCCGTAGCAGGCTGTTTGTATCTTGGAGAGCTCTAAAAGTTTCACTGTTCTGTATGCACTGTACCCCTGGGTATTTAAATGGTACAGCAGTAGAGGCAACTGTATGGAATAGCTCAGGAAATGAAGAGAGATGTTAACATTGAGATGCCACCTGTTGGCAGTCCCTCAAAGTGTCAATGCGTGCAGGCTTTGAGCAACAAGGCGCGTTGACCTCAGCAAAGAGAGACAGCCCATCCTGCCCTGCCCGAGGACACAGCCAGCACCACCTGCGCATGGCCAGGGTTGGACCTGAGGGTGCTCAGGCCTCCAGAGCCAGCTCCTCCATCACAGAAAACACCGAGGACAAGGCGGGCAGGGAGCTGCGGGTGTGCTGCAGCCAGGTCAAGGGGGCGGGGCTTGCAGCTGAGTTGGTGTGCAGTGTGCGCAGGGCTGGGGCTGATGCGGACAGGATGTCTGAAGGCAGGTTCCAGGGCGCTGGCTGGAGGGAGGCCGAAGGCAGAGAAAGGTGCCTGGAGCCTGTGGAGCAGGCAGAAGCCTTGACTGGAAGCTGCTTTGGTCCCAGTGCAGGGACCCCTCAGGCCTACTGCCTGGGGAGCCTGGGCAAGGCCTGCCTTCCAGAGAGCTCCCGGGCTCACGCTGGCTCCAGCAGGTGGCGTCTGGATGCTCCATGGGAAGGACACAGAAGGACCTGCACTGTCAGAGAGCTACAGCATGGGAAGGGAACTGTAACGCCACGCTTTGTGGATGACACGGAAAACTGTAGTCCCCTGTCCCCATGGGTCACTCAGTGAGACACATGCAGCCAGTGTTCTGAATAGAGGGCTTTATTGGGGATCCCTGGAGAAGAGGGTACAAGGAAGTACGCTCAGTTGGCTGCCAGGATCTCCTGAACCCAGGGCAGCAGTGCAGTGACGCGAGCATACACAGCAGGAGTAGAGGTGGAGCAGGTGCTGCTGCCCCAGGACACGATGCCTACCAGGTTCCAGGCTCCATCCTTCTGGCACACCAGGGGGCCCCCAGAGTCACCCTGCAGGGAGGAAGAGGACCTGACTTTAAGCCTGAAGGGGCGCCAGGGCCCAGGGTGCCTCAGCTGGGAGAGGCAGGGAGGGGGCAGAGGGATGAGAAGGCTGGGCACAGTGGCTCTGCCCAAGCGGCTTCCATCTGGGTGCCATGCAGTCCAGCTCTGCTGTCTGCTCCCAAGGACCCTGTGCAGGTGGCTTCCCCTGTCTAAGCCTGGCCGTGGCCTCTCCCATGGGCTGGCACCTGTGCTCCTGGGGCTGTGGTGCGGACTGAGCTCTGTGGGTAGCACGGCAGGGGCCTGGCCAGGACCTGCCTCAGGGTGCCTGCTAGCGCCAATGGGGTCTTCTAAGTAGGGGAGGGCAGGGGAGAGCCCAGGCCTGTGTACGGGGGTCTCTGTGTCCCTCCTGGTTCCCCAGGACCATACCATGCAGGAGGAGACGCCACTGGCCCCAGCACAGATCATCACGTCAGTGACCCTGGTCCCCCAGTACTTCCTGCAGTCAGCAGTGGACACGAGGGGCAGAACCGCCTGCTGCAGCTTGTCAGGGGTCTTGTTGGCTACACGGAAAGGGGAAAGGAGAGATGGATTCACAGCCCCTCTCCCAACCTAGCCCTCATCTGTCCTCCCCCAAGCCCCTATCCTGGGGAGATGTCTCTGCTGAAGGCGCCCCAAGGGGTGCAGGCAGCTCACCAGGGCCCCTTTTCCTGTCTAAGGCACTCTTCACGAGATTTCTGTCAAGTATATCTCTGTGAGAACTCAGTTATTTGTGTGTGGTAGATTTAAAAAATTTTTTTTTGTTCTTAGTTGGCATATAATGATTGTGTAGTTTATATATTATTTTTAATTTTTGAGACAGGATCTTGCTTTGTATTTCAGGCTGACCTTGAACTCACTGTATCACCCAGGCTGGCTTTGAACTTGCAGCAAAATTCTGTCTCAGCCTCCGGAGTGCTGGGATTATAGGCATGTACTACCATACCCAGGTATTTTATAGATTTTTAATTTTTAAAAAGCCATTTGGCTCACAAGGCCAGGGACAGCTCTCACTGTCGAAAGTCTGCGTCACACTCACCATTGTACTTGGTCTTGCCCCAGCCAGTGGTGACACACTGGGTCCCAGCAGGGAAGTCGTCATTGGCATTGGGAAGGCACACAGCAGACACGGTCTTGGAGAACGTGGCAGGTGAGGACAACTTCAGCAGAGTGATGTCGTTGCGCACAGTTAAGAGGCTGAAGCTGGGGTTCTTGAAAACCTGAAGGTGACAGTCACAGCCTCAGTGAGGACCTGGAGTAGCCAGGCCACATGTTTCTGGGGGTCCAGCTCCTGTTCTTGGGCCTAGTACCTTTGCGATCTTCAAGACCTGCACATTCTCCGCATCAGAGCCCTGGTCAAACTCCCCAGCTACCACCACATCAGACGTCCTAGGGATGGACACAGGACAGGTTGGGAAGAGGATGGGCCCCTGCCCTCCCACACCCGACACCCTCACATCCCCAGCACCCGGAGCTGGAAGCAGAGCCCAGGCCGTCTGCTCACGTGACACCGCAGTGTGCAGCAGTGACTACCCAGCCCGGGCTGATGAGGGAGCCCCCGCAGAAGTGGAAGCCAGTTCTGTCCTGGAAAGGGAGAAGGGGAGGGTCACAGCTGCTACCTGGGCTGCACCCCAGCCTGGCCAACATCCTAGGGTACCCTGTACATGCCCCGGATCCCCATCTCACCTGCAGGGACACCTGCCAGGGCCAGGAGCCAGGGACAGCGTCCTCACCATTGACAATCCTGGCCAGGCCGCTCAGCACAGGCTGGACAGCAGGGACTCCACAGCCTGGTTGGAGGTAGGGGTGGATGAGGAAGGCGTGTGTACCCAGCCAATCTAGGCCTGACCTACCAGCACTGCAGAGTTACTGGTTTCCACCTCAGCCTACCCAGCCCAGCTCAGGATCGCCATTCCACAGTTGCCGTGGCTTCTCCAACCTCTAGGCTCAAGACTTTGTGACCTTCAGCCTGCTGACCCCAGTCCTCTTCCACAGGTGCACAGGGACATGGCTGTCCCCGCCTGGGCCTGTCCTGCCATAGAGAAAACAGCTGGGCCCTCAGACAGCGTGGGCTTGACCCTGGGTCCCCTCCTGGCCGTGTGGCCTGCGACCTGGGGCTCCACAGTGCTCTCAGCTGCTCGGTGGGGGCAGGACAGCGCTGACTCCACAGGTCAACGCGCATCTGTTAGGCCGGAGCGGCGTGTGGAGCCCACACCTGTGACCCCGCCCTGGGGCCTCCAGCCCAGACACCAGGCTAATGGAGCGTGACCTGGCATCGACACAGCACAGGGCCCGGAATGCGCCCTTTCTGCAGCATCTCACCATTTCAGCAACAACATCTCCTACCCTGCCCACATGTGTGTCTGGAGCCGCCAACCCCAGCTGAGGTCGGGGGCCCCTTCCCTTCCTGTGCAGGGAGCGAGGCCTCAGAGCCCTGAAGGAAACCCCTCTCCTCCCTGCAGCCTCAGGTCCCCTCAGGCCTGGGTGAAGCCTCTCACTGGGAAGGAGCCCCAGGTTGTCTTGGGGGACCTGTCTGTGGGGGTTGTGAGGGCTTCAGGCCTCCTCCCCACATCCTCGTTTCTTAATTATTAATAAACCAAGACTTCGATTCCACACCATAGAAGGCCACAGCCTAGAGGCATGGAATAAACTGAGAGAAGACAGCTGTGCTGGGCGGGCCCTGGACTCAGCAGGTTCTCAGCTCTGAGCTGGCCACACACTTGGCCTTTGCCCTAGAGAATATAGCCCCAGTCACCAGGCGGCACCTCTGGTGTCTCCGCCTGCCCACAGGAGTGAGGACACAACGGGCCTTCAGTGAAGACTGGTCCTGCCACACACAGAAAGCCACAATCATCTATGTTTATAAATAGAAAAAAGAGGGAGAGAGTGAGAGAGGTGGCATACGGAAACAGCAGAGTATGTTATAGTGGTTCAAGTACAAGAGCTGGATCTCCATAGCTACATGGATAAATCTCAAGCATTTTGAGTAGGAAAAAGTACGTTGTAAATGTGAGGCAGAGTGCTGGGCATGGTGACACGTGCCTGTAATCTCAGCACTTGGGAGGCCGAGGCAGGAGGATTGTTGCAAGTTCAAGACTAGCCTGGGCTACACGGTAAAGCTCAAGGCTAGCCTGAACTGCATAGTGAGACCCTGTCTCAAAAAGACCAAATTTAAAAAAAAAAAAATGCAGAGTAGAATGCTATTTATGTAAGTTTTAAAAATACTTGTTTGTGTGTGTGTGAGTATATAGTACATTTTTATGAGCCAACTTAGAATGATGTATGGAGCTCAGAACAGGAAGGCGGAGAGAGTAAAGGAAAGCTTTCGCTGAATTGCTTTTAAGTTTTAAAAGAAATATCTCCTTTTGTCTCCTGGGACCTCTGGAAGCAACATGAGTCACTAACAGCTCTACAGGAGCCTCCTGAGGAGATCTGCCCTGGGCTCTCCATCTAGCAGCGTCTGCTCAAACCAAAAAGGTCTGATCCAGAGATACCACCTTAACATGTGCTGCCAGTGTTTCTTTGGGAACATGAAGGATACCGGCTTCATCAAGTTGGGCTAAGTGATCTTCCTTTGATGGATTATCCAGAATATTCGCTCAATTAAAAAGACCACGCTAACTCTTTGTACATAATATTAAAAATTTTAAGTCTTGAAAAAAGGAAAGAAATATCTAAGCTGGGCACAATATTGTACCTACAGTCTGTGCTACTGAGGAGGCTGAGGCAGGAGGATCACTTGAGCTCAGATGATCTGGGCCAGAGTGGGCAACATAGTGAGATCCTGTCTCAAAAAAGAAAACCAAAAACAACAAAAAAGAGAGATACCTGAAGCAAATCTGCAAAAAGGTACGACCTGCTAAATCTTGACAGTATATACCTGCAGACCATCTAACTTTCTATATTTCTAACTATCCCTTTTGTGTGTGTGTGATGCCAGGGCTTTTACACAGAGCTATAGCCCCAGCCCTTTTTTCATTTTTTAAATTCTGAGAAGACAGGTTTTCCCAAGGCACTACATTGCTCAGGTTGGACACTTATTTATAATCCTGCCTCAGCCTCTCAGAGCACTCAGATTATATGTGCATGCCACCATACCTGGCCTATTTTCCTTAATTTAATTGATAAATAAAAACTCTGGATGCCTTCAGAGGGCTACGGTCACCTCCTACCCTGCCCACATGTGTGTCTGGAGCCGCCAGCCCCAGCTGAGGTTGGAGGCCCCTTCCCCTCCTGTGCAGGGAGCGAGGCCTCAGAGCCCTGAAGGAAACCCCTCTCCTCCCTGCAGCCTCAGGTCCCCTCAGGCCTGGGTGAAGCCTCTCACTG